AACTCTAAATGCTCTAAAACAGCACAGAATGTCATTATTTCAGCTCCCTGCCTCTTCTGCTCTCATGCACCTGCAAGCGTTCTCGGCCACTCCCACTTTGCACGTTTGACACGGAGAGCAGCTGATCAGCTGCAGCAGGAAGTTTATTCTGCAGCTCTGGGCTGCACACAGGTGCAGCAGGTGCTAAATACTTTAAAATATATATATATTTTTAAATTCCATGCCGATGGTGCGGCTCATCCATCAAGCAGTCGTTCTGTGTAGTGGCCAGTCTTATTTTGAAAAACTGCTATAGAGTGAGTCTGCAACAAACGAACCGCGAAGTAGCGAGGGACTACTGTATTACCTTGTAAAACTTTATCCAGAACAATAAATCTACCTTAGAAGTATATATATATATATATATATATATATATATATATATATATATATATATATAACGCATATATATATATATATATATGCGTTAGTAATGTTAGCTTTGTCGTCTTCAATGAAATGCATGGTTTGTCTGAAATCTCAACTTTGCAATGAAAAAACTAATGCTGCTGTAGTCATACAGTTATACATTTGATAATTTCATGGTGAATAGTGTAGGAGAGAACATTTGAATGCACGTTAGGAAGACTGTTTCAAGATGCGAAGTCTTAAAACAGGCTTAAAAGTAGATGTTTATCGTATTTTCCGGAGTATAAGTCGCATCAGTCAAAAAAAGCATCATGAAGAGGAAAAAAACATATATAAGCGGCTTCGGCGTTTAAGTTGAATTTGTTTTGCGTCCCCGCTGACCCGTCACTTTTATTATGCGTTTATTTAATGGTCAAAACAATTTCATTTTGCCTGGGCTCGCTCGCTCCATCCATCCATCCATCCATCCATCCATCCATCCATCCATCCATCCATCCATCCATCCATCCATCCATCTATCCATCTATCTATCCATCCATCGCGTCCGGAGCCGCTAGCTTTTTTTTTTTTAATTCAACCTTTATTTATACAGATAAATCACACTGAGCCTCGAAGCCTCATTTACAAGTGAGACCTGTTTGCTCTCCATCGTTCCTCCGCATGCACCAGCTGAGTGAAGCGAGCACACGCGGGAGGACTCGCTGTTGCAGTTCTTCAAAATTTTAAGCGTCAAACATTGCATTATGAATATGGAAAAACAATACGCATATAAGTCACAGGACTGACAAATCTATGCAAAACACTGCAACTTATATGCCGGAAAATATGGTATTTAGATTCTTGGGGATGGACAAAGTAAAAAAATTTCTGGCAATATATTGGTTATCGCCATTAGCCTTCCCCTCCCAATATTGCTATCGGTGATAGAAAAAATTTCCATATCGGTCAGGCTCTAGTTCATATATCAAATTGGTAACATCAAATGTGTTTTCTCTCTACTAACCCACCAAACTCATTCAAACTCAGTCATTTTAATTACCAGAACACAAAAATGTTCTCATCTGTTTGTTCAACTTTGGCGTTTCAGCGCATTAGATTGGATCAAATCTACCTTTTCAGTAGAGAAAGCAGAATAGTAACTCCTTTGTTCTGGGAGGAGAGAAGGCGATGATTCTTTGGGAATTTGATAAACTTTCAAAGATAATCAGACGCAAGCAAACCTTAAAGCCAGAGTGTATGTGCCCGGTTGTCTCTGACTTTCTCTGATGAGGTAGCTGCCTTCGGCCTGACTCAGTAACTGGTCGGCCTCTTCCCTCGAGATCTTTCCGTGGAACCTGGACGCACACACAAGTTTGATTTCATGAAACAAAATTAAGGTAAATGCTCCAGTTATATTGACAAGGCATGGCTCGTGTGAATTGCAAACAGAGGAAGGCAACTTACTCTCTTCCATAGTATTTCGGTCGACTTTCCACCTGCATATAATAAAAAATAATAAAAAGGACTTTTTAAAACTTGCAACAGTTAAATTTAAGTATCAAAAATCACCTTAAAGAAACACCCCATTGTGTGAATTTAAGGGATCTGAATGTGATCGTGCAGGTGTGGAGAATATTGAACGAGTCAGACATAAAAGCTGAACATCGTGTTGCTCACAACAAAACTGCTGTCAAGCCAAAAAATAAATAAATAAATAAATAAATCAACGCAGCTCACCACAAGAAGCTGCGGATATTCATTCTAACGATAAAAACGATATGAATGTGGAGCTCCAAGAGAGACGATCCAGATGTTTTGTGAGCAAAAAGCACCTACGTAGCCCCTCGACTGTCAACCGTGTACATTCAATTCAATTCATTTCAAAAATACCTTATTAATCTCAGAGGGAAATTAAGTGTTGTCATAGATCATCATCCTGGTTCCATTCAAGAGTTATAGATGCTGTGGGCAGGAAGGATCTTCTGCTGCAAATCAGAAAAATCTGGCCACAGATAGTGATCTGTCCACCTGGATACAGCTGGCTGTCAGATCTGGCGGGCCTCCTGGGTAGGACAGCCCGAATGCCGAGCAGAATTCCTCCCTGAGCGATGGTCACTCCTCCCAGCAGTGTGCCGAGCTCCTCGTCACCACTGACAGACAGCTGAAGGTGCCAGGGGATGATCCTGGTCCTTCCATTGTCACGAGCCGAGTTTTCCACCAAGTCCAGGATTTTGGTGGTCGAGTACACGATCACCGCCACAAGGTTGACGGGAAATGGTCCAGGGCGCCTCCTTTTCAACTCATTTGGGATTTGGGGCTGTAGTTGAGGTTTTTGAGCTTTTGAGATGTTAATCAGCTGCTCCTGGTTGTTAAAAACACCTTGTTGCCATGGTTACGCATCATAAATTCCCAAAAGTAAAAAGGTTTCAGCAAAAAACCCTTCCAGCTGCACAGTGTCTGATACCAGAGGAAAGAATCATCTGAAAAATGTGATTTACATCCAGAAAATAGAGGGGTTAAAGTTTTCAAAAGCAATAAATCCAAATGAATGCAACAGAGCTACTCCAACATGCAGCCACTCCGAGCGGCGCAATTCTAGAACTTCAATCTGGACACCAACTAAAGCTAGCCTGACGTCTGTCAGGTGTGAAGCTAAAACACCATAGCACTTCACTAACGCTCGACATCCTGAATCGCACTCAGAAGAAGCGCTGGAGGGAACAGATCAATTCAAACAGAAATATATCTTTGAAGGGAATGATGGAAAAAGCAGCGCTTAGTTTAAAAATGATACAAAGAAGAACTTAAGAAGAATCTTATCAGAGGCTCTTGTGGTTTTAATGTTGATTTTACTTTTACGAGAACGTTTTCTTCATGAGTCTCTTAACTTTCACTTTTATACGTCGGTTTGGACTTTTGACTGCAAAAATAGGAACAAACTCTCGGGGATTGTCAGGATGTGCAGCAAAGCATAGCCCTACAGAACCTAACTGACCTACACAAGATGAGGTCAGTTAACAAGGCCAGGATGATTCTGGCAGATCCTGATCATCCACTCCATGGTGAGTTCAGGTTGCTTCCATCTGGACGCTGGTATCTGCTGCTCAGATGTAGGACGAACAGACTTAAATACTCATTCATCCCTGTAGAGCTCATGGTTCTCAACTAAGTGATGATTTCATGTACAGTAGTCCCTCACTACTTCGCGATTCGACTTTCGCGGACTCGCTCTATCGCGGTGTATCAAAGTAAGAGGGGTCATGACACACAACTGGCTGATTGATGGATGAGCCACGGATTGCTTATTTAAAATAAAATAATTTAAAATGATTTAGCTCCTGTGTGCACTGCAGCAGGGAGAAGCTCCCTTCTGCATTTCTCATTATTTCATTCACGGACTGTAGCAAAAACGAAAGAGAACGTGAATCTTTCAATGTGACTTCCAAACTTGGCTTGACTCATAAACACGTTTTGATTTTTAGTTGAATTGTTCATTTGAGCAAAAGTGCATATTTTCAATATTTATTCCTTTTAGAAAATGAGAAAACAATGAGACAGACAGTGCAGAATTATTAGGATGACATACTTGAAGAGTGTATAAGTCAGAAAAGCCACCCGAAAGAAAAAGAAAAAAATCAATTCATATCAGTTTAGTTCAGATTCTCCTCAGCCTTGACAATAAAGTGAAATAATTTGACCTCTTGGAGCATTTTTGAGGATTGACTCTCTTCACCTTATTGTACTTTTTTTTAGGTTTTAAGGTTAATTTGATTTATTTAAAGTAAAATATTATGTTACAAGTCATACAGAGAGATGCCACCCATTCATTCTACAAACTAAAAAACACCAGCCACAGATCAGTATGTTATTAAGTCACATATGGCTGAACCCCCATGAGAAAACATGGAAATGCTGGTTGAAGAGGGTATGTAAAGTGTGTGTGTGTGTGTGTGTGTGTGGGGGGGGGGGGGTTTGACACTCCATCTGGTGACCTGTCTGCTCATTTTAACTGGGTCAGCATAAATTATCCCACCCAGACCAGGACATCTGAGCCAGTGTCAATTTTAGCCTCTTTTTGGAGTGCTCAAGCACCCCAAAATTTATTGCATCTCGTAAGGACAGATGTGCTTAGTGGTGTTTAGTAACCATAAGCGAAATTCTATTAATGAATTCCTAATTCTATTAAGTCCAATATTTAAAAGTCAAGTGTTCCCCCAACCATTACATAAGCGGGGCACCCTGCATACCGAGCCGAACTGCGCGCGCGCATTCCTGCTCAACACCACCCCCACCCCCCACCCCCCCCCCCCCCCACCCCGTCGGCAATGACGTAGGTAGCTTTTAGCAAGCGGACACAGTGACGTCACGTTCTAAAGCTCTATACAGGTGCACTAGCTAAAATACTAAAGGCGCCTCTTCCCTCATGCTGGATACCCGCCCGAACACCCCCCCCCCCCCCCAAAACTCACGGGTCGGTCCAAACAGCGCGGTGCTCTGACGTTCTATTTCGTATAGGCTTTGCCCTTTAAGAGCTGTCGCTAGTGGGTTTTATCCCATCATGCAAAGCATTACACTGAAAAGTTTAGTCCACGCCCACCTGCTGTGTGGGCCTCACCCGGTCCGTATAAATTACGTTAAGAGCGGGTAATCGGCTCCCAATTTACTTCAGCAAGCTAATAGCACTGACCTTCAACAAGATGTCCAGCACCAACACCATCCACCTGTATCCATTCTCCAAGACCGGCTACTTGCTAAGTTTTGACTGGCACAACACCTGCGAAGGATGCCTGGGTCCCTGCCACGTCGCCCGCGCCTCCTCTTGCCACCTCTGTGACCTCCTTCCTCCGGAGGAAAGGCAGAGGAGAGCAGCCTTGTTTAAGGCTAATGTCGAGGACTGCCTGTCCGTGGCGGGAGACTGTTCAATTCAATTTTTCAATTCAGTTTATTTATATAGCGTCAAATCACAACAAAGTTGTCTCAGGGCACTTTACATAAACATTCACATACATAAAAGCCAATTAGTAAAGTTCTCTAAGGAATCCAGCAGACAAGTTGAATTTTGGCTTTGTTGCAGTCTCCCATCCTGAGCAAGCACAGTGGTAACAGTGGAAAGGAAAAACTCCCTTTTAAAAGGAAGAAACCTCCAGCAGAACCAGGCTCAGGACAAGCGGCCATCTGCTTTGACCGGCTGGTTGAGAGGACAGGAAGGAGAGACAGACGAACATAGAATGTTCGCTGGACGATGCAATCGACTTCTTCGACTCGGAGCGAATCGGATGGTTCCTCTGGGACAGGCAACGTCAGCAGCAGCCCTGATGCTCGCTCCCTCCCGGAGAGCGTAGTGTTGGAACGAGGGGGGCCGAGCAGATGCTCACTCCCTCTGGGCTTTCCTGCCTCAACGGCCACATCGCTCCCTGCCGTCGGTGCCCTCCTCTTGGAGCTGCCCGACATTATCCGGGAAGCTGCTGACACGAAGGGACTTTCCGTCCCTCTCCTCCCCCCACCCAGATCGGATGATCTAGCGGGAAGGTTTGGCTCCACTCTGGCTCGCCATCCTGATCCCATCTGGCCCCGTTTTCCAGCAGTGGCGTCCTACTGGAACAAGGCAGCGTCCGGTCCTGGTAATTTGAGGGCACCCGTCTCCATTTTCGCTCCCATCACCAGAGTGGAGGGGTTCACAGAGCAGAACTTTCCCTCGGTACCCCCCCGGAGCCAAGCCTGGCGGAAGCTTTCGGAGTGAAGCTGTCCAGGTTGGAGCAGCATCCTGTCCCTCCTGGGAAACATGACCAGACGGTGACTACGCTCTCCAATCGAGCTCACCAGTGTGCGTTCAAGGCAGCCGCAGCAAACAACAACGTGGCGCTGTTGGCGTACAGCGTTTCCAAGAGGCTGGAGACCGCAGATCTGCCTGAGGAGACGAAGAGCTCCTTTTGCAAGGCATCTGACGTCATCCTCAACATGTGCGCCTCTACTGCTGTCTGCCTATCCTGAATTGCAGCGTGGATGACAATGAGGTCCACCTGGCTCCGTCACTCCCCCTCTCTGTCGGAAAACCTGCACAAAGACCTGATGGAGGGCCCCATCATGATGGACGCACTGTTCGGGAGCAGTTTCAAGGCCATGCTGGAAACCTCGAAAAAGTCGGAGGAGGTGTCAGAGACTGTGCGCCACCAGATCAAGCCGCGCGTCTCATCCCGCCCCCCGGCCCGCTGGAAGGATCGTCGTGAGCAGAGACAACAACAACGACGTTCCACGGCCGCAGCAGCGTCTTCTCGCTCCGCTCCACCGCCAGCCCCGCCCGTCAGAGACCAGCCCTCCTCATCCCAGCAACCGGCAGTTCAGCGTTTTCCCAGAGATCACCAACAGGCGGCGCCCTGGGCCAACAAATCGCAGAGCTCATAGGAGAAAAGATTCAAAAAATGACGGTCTGTGGAGGGTGTGTGTAAAAATGACATATGCTCTGAAATAAAACATGAACATCATTCAATGATTAAAG